GGCCAATACCTACTTCAAGACACAGAAAAAGCTTACTCCAAAGCAAGCTCGTTGGCAAGAGTTTCTTAGGGAGTTCAATTTTGTGTGGGTTCACAGACCTGGAAAGCAGAATCAGGTTGCTGATGCCTTGAGTAGGAAAGAAGTGCAGGAGTATGTGGCGTCGTTGACAACGGTGTATACTGATTTCCTTGACAGAATCAAAGAGCAATCTCAGTCCGACAATGCCTATCAGAAACTAAAGCAACAGGTTACTGATGGTGAAGTCAGAAAGTACTGGATTGAAGATAATCTACTCTATGCCAGAGGAGGTAGATTATATGTTCCTGTTGGAGGTTTGAGACGGGAACTAATGCAGGAAATGCATGATCCTCAGTGGGCTGGACATCCAGGGGTGGATAGAATGCTGGCGTTGATATCCAGATCATATTACTGGCCCAAGATGGAGGATGACATAGAGTTATATGTCAAGACTTGCTTGGTCTGTCAGAAAGACAAGCATGAAAGGAAGAAGGAGGCAGGGCTACTGCAACCTTTGCCTATACCAGAGCGTCCATGGCAGTCAGTTTCAATGGACTTCATTTCTGGTTTTCCCAAGGTAGAAGGTATGAGATCTATTTTTGTGGTTGTAGATAGATTCTCTAAGTATGCAATTTTTATTGCTGCACCACATGCATGCCCAGCGGAAGTTGCTGCTGGTTTATTTCATAAGTTTGTGGTGAAATATTTTGGCTTGCCCGAAGATATTGTTAGTGATCGTGACACCAGATTTACGGGAAGGTTCTGGACAGTGCTATTTGGCTTGATGGGTTCTGAACTGAAGTTCTCCACAGCAAACCATCCTCAGACTGACGGACAGACTGAGAGGATGAACCAGTTATTGGAAGAATATCTGAGGCACTATGTCACTGCAAGTCAGAAAAATTGGCTGGAGTTGCTAGACACTGCACAATTCTCTTATAATTTGCACAGGTCTTCAGCAACTGGAATGAGTCCCTTTGAGTTGGCAACAGGGCAACAACCTCGCACACCACAGGAGGTGGCAGTGCAGAGGACAGGTGGAAGATGCCCTGCAGCATACCGATATGCCCGTTCCATGCAAGAGATGGTGGAGGAGGCACAGGACAGCCTTGCCAAGGCTGCGAGAAGGATGAAAAAGTATGCAGATAAAGGGAGAAGGCCATTAGATTTCCAAGTGGGAGACAAGGTTCTGTTGAAGTTGACTCCACAGATTTGGAAGAAGATAAGCAGCAAGACTGTTCACAGAGGGCTGATTCAGAAGTATGATGGTCCATTTGAAGTTGTGAAGAAAGTTGGGAATGTTGCTTACAGATTACAGTTACCTGAGAAACTGAAAGTCCATCCTACTTTTCATGTGAGTTTCCTTAAGCCTTTTCATGAGGACACTGCAGATACATCAAGACAGCAGGCTAAGAGAGCCCCACCTGTTATTCGGTTGCAGTTTAACAAGGAGGTGGAGAAGATTTTGTCTCACCGGACCCAGGGTCAGAGTAAGAAAAATCGCAGAACTGATTACTTGGTGCAATGGAAAGGATGCAGCGAAGCAGAGGCTAGTTGGGAAAGAGATGTGACATTATGGCAGTTTGAGAAACAGGTAAAGGAGTACTTGGACAAGTCGACGAGGGCGTCGACTTCTTCTGGTGGGGGTGGTTTGTTAGCCCCTTGACGGTTGTCCAAGGGAAGACATGGGCATTTCAAGGCCATGCCATGTCTTAGGAATACTTTGGCTTTGATTAGACAGCCATGAGGGTGCTCAGTGGGTTGTCAGCGTGCACAAGATGCTCAGCGTGCACACAAGATGCTTAAAAGGATGCTCGGCTTGCACTGTGGGTGCCCAGTGGCACTTTCGTAAATATGGTGAAAAGTGAAACTTGGAGTTTTGACTCGAGATCTTTATGGGAGATACCTTGAGTCCATAGAAGCTGGTTGGCGCAGACGGCACTCAATTTGGATGTCGGGAAAGGTCTGAAAGGCCATTATGACTCATCAAGCATGGGTGATGTTTACTCCTGTCAGAGTGCTGGATTTCCTTAAGACTATATTAGGGGGGGGTCTGTTGAGCTTATCGGTTGGGCTATGGCATGGCTTGCTTAGAGGGCTTAGCCAACGTGCATGGGCACGTGTTGCACCACTCCAAGATGGTTGCACAAGTGGGGAGCATCCAAGATATTGAAGGGCAAATAAGTGTGCACCGACACGCGCGCTGGAGTGCAGCGGCGTGCGTGCGGGCGTGCAGGTGGGCGCGCGGGTAGGCGTCCAACCTAGTGTGCGCGAGCGTCTAGCTCGGCGTGCACATGGGCGTCCAGGTGGGTGTACAGCCACGGGCGCATGAGGGTACAAACATGGCGCGCGAAGAAGGGCACTAGTGTGTGCGTCGGCGTGCACTTTGGTGTGCACCCGAGCGTGCGCACGGGCGTGCATGGCTTGGCACGCCGTGCACTCAGAGACATATATATGTGGGTGCAGATTGGTGGACTTGGCTTGGGCTAGGTTCACAAGGTTGACTCAGATGTGGCTAGAGCATGGATAACACAAAGTCATGGCTTGTGGTTAAAAGAGGTGGTGGCTTAGTGGGCTCGGTTGGTTGGGGGAAGTTACTAGCACTTCCCACTCATCATGGGAAGTGGGGGAGTGCTGAGTAACCTCCCAAACATGTGGCACAATTCTGAGAGGACCAACACACAGGCGGTTAAGGGTGGTTTCCTCCACCATGCAGAATCTAACTTCTTGTGGTTATGTGGCATGAGCAGCACATGCCAACAAGTCTAGCAGTTGGGCTTGTCAACTGCATTATAAGTGCTGGCTCATTTAGAGGGTGCCAGCACGATCCTAGGTGGATGGGGGTGTCATCCATCATCTTAGTGGGCAGTTATGGGCGGTTTTGAGAGTGGCCTATATAATGCTAAGGTGGGCTTTGTAGAGGGAATAGAGAAGAGGGTGTGAGCCTTGGTTGTTCCTTGTACGAACTCATGTTCCTTTGTAATATGTTTAATATGAGCAAAGGTTGGGGCTTGTCCCTGTAAACTGTGTGTGCCTTCTTTATATTTCTATATTGTGTGTATTGTGTTGTGGTGTTGGCTGAGACTTGGTGGCCCCAAGTGCCATTGCAGAGGCAAAAATTCGTGGTGTAATTTAGCCCTGTGACAGTTACCATTGTGGAGAAAAGGGACACATCATACTACCCTGTCCAAAAATCCAAAAAGAGCTTTCTGTTGTTGTTGTTCGAGGCTACGAATGTAGAAGATAATGTTGATGAAGCACTTTGAATCCTTGATAGCAAGAGAGAAGCTAAGGAGATACTTGATTCTAGTTTTTCCTATCATATGTGTCCTCATAAAGATTGGTTTACGTCCTACAAGCTTATAGTTGGTATGGTATTTATGGAGAATAATTCTTCTTATGAAGTTATATGAATTAGAGTAAATAAAATCAAGACAACAAATGGACTGGTTAGGTCCTTGACGGATATATGTACCTCATGTTACAAGTGTTAGAAGAAATGTGATTTTTGTTAGAGCTTTGGATTCAAAGTGTTGTATGTGTGAAGTAAAGTATGGTTTGATGAAGATTGGAAGAGAACCGCGCATCATGCTTTTGGGAAGGAGAGTCAACAATCTCTATGTTATATTCAGAAATTCTCTGGTAGGGGAGTCATTGCAAAGACAGAATGGAATTCCGTTTTTAGATCTAGAGTAATGGATGGTCAAGGGCAGCAAGTGGAGGAAGAAGTCTTGTCAATCAATTGCAACAATACAAACCTTCATCCCAGAAGCAAGGAGTGTCTGTTTCAGTGATGTGAGAGTGGGTTGCAAGTTTGAAAATCATCTGAACTTGGAGCTTGCTAGCTAGCAATGGGTGATTGTGATGGAATGACGAAGATGACCAAAGGATGAAAGAAGATGCTTGGTTCGAGGTGGATAGACCTTCAGTCGAAGTGGAGCTACGGAGGAACGACTGATGACTGAATTTAAGCCAAAGTGGAGATTGATGGGATATGTCTCCAATTCTGTCGAAGAATGGTATTTTGTAAAAGTCCGGTAGTCCGGTCGCACTTGTCGTAGCGATAAAGAATAGATGCTGGAAAAGTCCGACGAATCGCACTTTTTGGAGACTGGTTGCACTTGCCTGGTGAGGTGCGAGAATTGTTTCCTTAATTAGAAGCTGTTATTTCCTATGGTCTGAAATTTTGTAGAGTGAAACTTGAGACTTGTGGAGCAATTGAGTCTCATTAGGCTACTATTGTAGAGTTCGGTTGTAATAATTTTGAGCCACATAATTCAACACATCACTTATCAAGCTGCATAAGGTAGCATTTTCATTTGTAACTCCAGATGGCATGACCAGAACTCATAAAGCCATATCTGATAACAAAACTTACAAAAAGTTATTTTAGGCTCATTTCCGCATGCAATTCTGACTTTCCAATCCTAACGAAGGTCCAGCTTTATGAAGAAAGAGGCTTCCGATAATTTGTTGTATTTCTATCTTATTTTCAAATAATTTGTCTGTGTCAAATTGTCATGTACATTTAAGGCATGCCTCCAATCCTGTGCATACTTCATTTACTTAAATGCATCATTCTGTCAATTAGGTTATTCTTTAATTTATGATATATTAACGATAATTTATTTATTTATTTAATTTGTATAATGGGCGGGGTTTCTCCACTTCCTAGCAAGAGGAGTCTTGACGTTCTATGAGTTTTAAACTCGACTTGTGGATCATTCTTAGAAATTTCATGCCAACTCAGCTATTTCGTGAATTATGTTACCATACCGCATTATAAAAGCTATCAAAATTGAAAGTCTGAGGGGGAGAAATCATCCCAACAATTATTATTGCTTCATCATAAATGTTTGAACATTGAACCTTAATCAATAAGCCAACTTCCCCAGTTAAACTCCAAACAACCAATCAAATATGGAAACTCACAACAACTAGAAATTCAAGAGAGAGGGGGAGAGAGGAAATGCATGCTGAAATTCAAGAGAGAGAGAGAGAGAGAGGGGGGGAAAGTGCATGCTGAAATTCAAGAGAGAGAGGGAGAGCGGGAAAATGAATGTTGAAATTCAAGAGATATGGAAAATGTATTATTTATTTATTTTTACTTACCAAAAAAAAAAAAAATGAATGATTTTATTTTTATTTTTTTTTGAACGGTAGGGAAAATGCGTGTTGAAATTCAAGAGAGAGAGAGTGAGATAGGGAAAATGCATGTTGAAATTAAAGAGAGAGAGATAGGGAAAATGCATGTTGAAATTCAATCTTCCATTCGTTTCTTCTTCTCTTCTTCCGACTCAAGAAGCTCCTCCAACACACTGTCATCCAAATATTCGAGCTCGAGGACTTGTTTTTCTTGACCAGTCGATGAACCACCAACACTAGAAGAAGATGATGCTGATGAAGATGACATTATTGATGCATGAGGATATTCACTAGGGAAATTTAAGACTGCAAGAGGACCCCTCAGCCTAAATGCAGCTCGGTCGTAAGCCCGAGCAGCCTCCTCCGCCGTATCAAATGTACCAAGCCACACACGTCCGCTTTGGGTACTTCGGTCCCGGATCTCAGCCGCGAACTTCCCCCACGGCCGCCTTCGAACTCCCCGGTATCGAACTTCTTCTCTTTCCTTCTCTTGTTTTTCCTTTCCCTTGGAAGGCTCTTCCATATATGCTCAAATATTGCTTTTAACCTTCTTTTGTTTTCGAAGTGTATGATGACTTATACAACTGATGTTATTTATATATGGTTCAGATGTAAAAATATTTTTCGATACATGCCATGGAACATAGAGTTTCATGGCATGTAGTAGTATTAAAATTCGATTACAAAACATGACATGGAACATAGAGTTTCTTGTGTGGTAGTATTAAAATTCGATTGTTCCGACTCAATCTCTGTGGAATTCTAAGAAACTTCCTGGGACTCTTTTCACTGCAAAGCATTTTACAAATAAATAGGGTGATTTAATAGTGACCCATTCAATAATATATGTAATTCAAGAATTTTATAAAATCTAATACTTTAATGACCTTTTTATGTTTTTCTTGGTAAAGTTTCTCTTAACACTTGTAACTCTGAAAATAATTTTGTCATATCAATATCAAAAACCATGTCATGTTTTAAAAGATCTTTAAGATTATTTTGAAGAATGTGGCAATTGATTGTACCCATTAATTACAAATTTGTTTTTTTTTTTTTTTTTAAATAAAATAATAATAAAATAAATCCGTTCCTGGGTTTAAATATAAAAAAGAGAGACAATATTCGCACTCTACTTTTTTTTACGATTGCACTTCATTTTTCTTTTTTATTTATAACAAATGATAAAAAATCCATAAACTCATTTATGCATCATTCCTTAATTTATAGGGTTGTGCATATTTTATTCCCCTAAAAAACAGGAGATGTGGGTGTGAGATGGTAATAAAAGAGAGAAGAAGTTAAAGGAGATGGATGTCGACGGGTCACTTTAATAACTTCTGTTTTTTATGTCACTTTGCTATCTATTATAATTCTCTATTTTTATTTTTTATTCTGAATTTTATTGTTAGGCCGTGGCTATAGAATTTAACATCATCTAAATTGAATGAATGAAAACAAATATTAAATCATTTCTCATAGCTTTGATGTAAAAACTATTACTTCTAGTATCCTCCTTTTAGTACACTAACAAATAAACTTTTTCAAAATTTCATGAGATACATTTTTTTTTTCTTTCTGAATTTGATATTGCTTATGATATCAATTTTCTAAGATTACAATCAGGCCAATCCACTTATTCCATGAATTCTTAAAAATCACATGAAAGAAAAAATAAATAAACTCAAATTAAACTCAAAGCATACAACGCTAAAAGAAAAATAAAAGAAAAAATTACCATCATAATTAGCATCGAAATTGCGGAGAGAGAGAAACGAAGACCAATAGATCTTTCCATAACTGAATGGATAATTAAGGTATTTTTAAAAAATAATTATTTAATTATAAAATTAGAAATAGAATTGTCATTTTCTTTAATAGTGGAGTACAATAGCAGAAAAGTGGCTCCATATAAAAAATTAAATAATTTTCTTTTGATGGGAGGGGATAAAAACAAATTATTATTACCATACAATTATTGTGTTACCATAAATTGATATTATTAGTACGTGTGTTTACTGCCACATATTTTTTTAAAGTTATTTGTTGTCATAAATTTACATAATATATAAGACTTATAAGTGTGCATTGTCTTTTAATTATGGAAATTATGGTGTAGAATTAGTGATATTTTAAATATATTTTACTATATATGTGTTATGATCCTAAATTTGAGGCCTTAAGCGACCGTCTTGCTCCAAAAGACACTTAAAACCTAACTCTTTACCATTGGACGATACCGCCATACCTTTTAAAAGTTTTTTTGTTTTTTTGTTAAAAAAAACTTCGAAGTCTAGAAGCTGGTCTTCTATTGCCCCCACATCATAGACCGCCCCCTTTAATAATTCTTTGGTCGGTGGCTGGAACGGAAAGGAAAAGAGGGCAGAGGGTTGTTTTAGATTTCATAACTGGATCAAACTGGGGAAAATTTGTGGGTACATGTTTTTGGCCACATTTTATAAATAAATAGCGCGATTTAATAGTGACCCATTTAGCATAGGCTAATCAGTTTTGGACGCACAGAGTAGTAGTAGACTAGTAGTGGCTCATTGCGAGGTCAAAGGACATTTTGATATGTGTTCTGTAACCAAAATTTATTTTGAAAAATTTTAAATTTTGCTTTAATCTCTCCGCTACAATATCAAAATAAATAATATCACCAATTTAGTGATATGAGTTTTGATAAAAAAAAAAAAATTAATATGTTATGAATTATTCCAAACCAATATTAATGTCCCAAACATGATACGAGCCATTTTTTTAAAAATATTAATAATTATTATTTACTGTTACAGTACGAAATGTTATAGTCCGAAAACATATAAAAATATCAAATTAGTGTTTCGATTTTTTGTTATCATTCACAAAACGTTTCAACATACATTATGCAAACCAATTTTTTTTTTTTTAACAAACATATTTTTTCTACCGTTCATTGTTACAGTCCTCTATATAAATAAAAAAAAAAATACTAAAAACAAAACACATATCAAACAGGCTCTACATAATTAACTTTTGAAAAGTTTATAAATTAATTGTAATATAATTTTCTTTAAAATTTAATTAGAGTGTATAATTTGGAAATGGTAAAATAAAAAAAAAAATGAGAAAAATTCAACCGATGAAAAGTTTATATGCGAAAAAATAATAATAAACAAGAGGAAAAGATAAGTTGCGAAAAAAAAAAAAAAAGGGTAGTATTTGAGAATTAATTTTTCTTTAGCAATTGTTTCAAGTTAATAAAAATTTGGAGAAAAATAAAAAATAAAAAAATTGAATACCTTTACTTTGGAAAAAATATATCATTATTACCTTGATGAAAGACTTAAAATAAGATTTAAAAAATCAAATTTAATTATTAATTACAAGTCTAGTAAGGTTTACAAAACATGATTATCCAACGACAGGAGAAGTACTTTAATAATTTATAAAAGGAGTAGTAATTAAAAGTTTGTCATTTAATAAGTGACAATTTAAAATATTACATATATAATATCACTATGGTTGGTGGCATTCTTGTCATCCTGGTCTAACAACACTCTAATCAGTTTTTCTTCCTTTCCAATACTTCAAAGACTTGTTGATGGAATTTAGCATATATTTCTTTTTCTTTTTTTTCCTACCCCATTTTAGGAAAATGTTGGAGGAGAAAGGTGCATGTATTTTTATTAAATATGGGGCAAATTGGTAAAATTCCCTCCCCCTACCCGTTTTACTTTCAATTTTCTGTAAGAAAACTCCATGCAAAAAAAAAAAAAAAACAAGGTTGATATAAAACCCCATAACTATTCAATTTTGTTCCATTCGTGGTGTTATAATGACGAAAATGCCTCTTAATAGAATTTAAGGAAATATTGCCCATTGAATATAAAACTAAAATTAATATAAATAACTCAGTTGGCATAGTATTATTAAAAATTTCCCAATTTATTTTATTATTTTGCGTCTATAAGAAAATGAGAATACCATGGAACAATTTTGTTTTTAAAAAATTAATAAGGAAAAACAAAACCTAAAATAAAAATCATTTTAAAGAAAATATAATTTTTTTTAAATTTATATTATGGGGCATTTTCGTCATTATAAGATCACTTTAATGGTGTGTAAGTTTCAAAAAAAAATTGAAGTTCTATTTTTTAAAAAATTAAAGGTAAAATGAAAACTAAAAATGAAAATCTTTCTTAAATTTATATTAAGGGGCATATTGGTCATTATAACACCACTTTGCAACAAATTGGATAGTTTAAGGGGGAGGGGGTGGGTTTATGGAAGGTGTATCTTGCCAAAAATTGAAAGTGAAGGGAGATTTTATGCAATTTGTTTTGCAATATGAGAGGACATTAATGTAATTTTCCTCCCTTTTGTCTCATGCATGAATGTATATAATGAAGGGTGAATTGTAAAAAAACCCCTCACGACTATTACTTACTTGTAAAAAACTCTCTTTATGAATACTTTTAGCAAGAAACCCCCTCAATTATACCAAAAGGGATTTTAACTTAACACAGTGTGATGATTTACATATTATAATCCTTAATTCCATTATAGCAAGACAATTCATAACCCCTTAATTAGTATGCATATTCTACAGTATCAACAATAATGATGGGAACATTCCCAAATATTAGGTCTGTTTTAAATTCTATATACTTAATACGAAACCTTATTTCCACACCAATCTCAAATAGATAAAATAAGGAATGAAGGCAGTAAAAGACACCCCCCCCCCCCCAAAAAAAAGAACCTTCACAGTTTAGACCATTGAACTGTCAAGTAATAATTTGATCTTGCTCTGCACCTGTTTTATTTACTTTTAGCTTGAGACAAGCTTAAAACTTCAGTCTTTGCCTCCTATGGAGCTTGTATCTCAGCAACTACGTTGTTCTATTTGATTCTCTTGCTTTCGCCTAAGGAAGATGTTGCATAGATTTCACCCAAAAATAAATGAATTGTTGCAAAAGTATTCGGTTCTTAAATAGTTATGGCGTAAATGTGAATGGGGAAGAAGGAGGACTGAACATTTGGATTTGACTGAATTTGGTATTCACCGGATTTAATGGAGGACTGAACAATGACACAATTCACAATGTTGAGGGGCAATTTGGTCCAAATAATTGCCTTAATAAATCATTACACGGTGTTAAGTTAAAATACCCTCCTCAGTATAGTTGAGGGGGATTTCTTGCTAAAAGTATACATATGAGAGGTTTTTTGCAAGTGATTGATAGTCGAGGGTTCTTTTTTGCAATTAGCCCTATAATGAATATTATGCATTGAAGTAACCAATTTATTGTGGTAAAAATTACAATAATAATGAACTTTTATTTTTTGTTTCATAAGGTCGGGTCATCCAAGACCAAAAGGTTCATCCAAGATCCAGGCCTAGTCATCCGATACCAAGTCTGGTCAAGGCCAAGGCCTGATCGTCGCACGCCAAGGCCTATGAGGAAAAAAAATGCAAAATTTTATAATTGTTGTTTCTTCATTATTGTTCAGCAAGTTAGAAATGAAAAGAGACCAAAAGCTACTTAGCGTACCCTATGCTTAATAGACAAGCTCGGGAACAAGGGGATAAGGATAACTACTACTACAACTCTTCTTGGTATCTCTCCCCAATTCGTGATAGAGAAGGTAAGGGTAGCAGTGTCGGGGAAAGACACTACTGCAAAGTTCTCTATTATAAAAGGAGGGATCAATCAACTTAGAAAGGTACGCCAAAAATTATTTATAAAATTTCTCTTTAACATATAATCATTCAATTACTAACTTTTATCATTGGAGTGTACCTGGCCGACACCCGACAAGTGTCAGTCTCGACCATCACTTCTCTTATAGAAAATGTATCCGGTTATGGATCGTGCTGAATTATACAATAGAAATTAATTTCTTATTCTAAGTTAGATTGAGACTTCATAAAGAAGTTTATTTTCTCTTTTGGAATGGTAACTTCATAAAGAAGTTCAGCAGTAAGAATTTGAGTGCTCAAGCAAGAAAGGATCTATCCTTTACAAGAAGCACCTTTTTGTGTGAGACGATGTATGTTATAGTTATCTATTTGACTACTTGAGAAAGGGTTGGGGCAATTTTGGGTGTCTCTTTACACTGTGTTTCAGGTTTCCTATATACTCTTTCTCGGGGTTTAGGATTTTATACTTTCTAGTTGATTTAGAGGATAAAAGATCATGCATTTATCAACTCTTTTGCAAGTGAAATTGTTAATGTCAACTGGCATGCATCCCATTGGTGACAGGTTGGTGACCCTTGTTAAATCCCTGTATATTTATATTAGTTTTTCTTGTTTAATTTTATGGGACAAGACTAGTTTATTTATCGGTGAGTAAGTCAGTCATACTCACCACTGATATGGTCTAATCATAAATGTACACATAATCTATAATTATAAAATCAAAAAATTAATAAATAAGGAATTCAAAGAGGGTGACTGAATTTATTTTTTTTTTAAAAATTTATTTGTCCTTATTTATCACTTTTCTGATTTTGTAATTACAAACTATTTGTACATTTGTGATTGGAGCACGGTGAGTATGAATGACCTACTCAACGATGAGTAGGCAAGTCTTGTTCACTTTTTTGCTAAGTAGGAATGGTGACTTAAGGTTGTAGTATGTGCCAAGGGTTGGGTTGTTCTCCCATTAAAGCGGTATGTGAGCTGGGTTTAGAACGTCGTGAGATAATTTGGTCCATATCCGGTGTGGGCGTTAAAACACTGAGAGGATCATTCCCTAGTATGAGAGGACCGGGAAGGATGCACCTCTGGTATACCAGTTATCGTGTTCACGATAAACGTTAGATAGCGAAGTACGGAATGGATAACTGTTGAAAGCATTTAAGTAATTATTTAATATTTTTGTTTACACGTTTTTTGGTTTCACAAGGCTGATGGAGTTTGTGGGCATGCCAAAGTATGTGAATACTCAAAGATAAACGTTAGACACCAAACTATCTGTTTTGGTTGTTGACTTCAAGCGATTGTGCAAGAGAACGAATAGGAGGAACTATCGGCTGGATTCTTTTTCTGCCTTGATGCAAAGACTTTTTTATAATAGTGTTTGAAAGAATAAAAAATCAATTTAAAGTAAATGAACTGGCTGAATTGAAATAGACTATAAAGGAAACTGGCCGAATTGAAATTGACTGAAAGTAATGTGTGCAATGGAATGAACTGGCCAAATTTAAATTACTATGATCTAATCAAAGATTGTCATTGAATTTGATTACATAAAACAATGATTAAATTGTAAATAGCATAATTAGACATTGTAAGAAAAACGATAAGTTACTGGAACTTAGATTCCTTTAATGGAATTTGCCATTTGGACAAAAGATTTGAAGATAATTGGCATAGAGTCATTTGATAAATTTTTTATTTATGCTTTTTATGGGTGGTGCTGGATGAATTGGAATGAATTACAATATGTAATGTTTCTGATTTTTGTCATTTTATATTTTCTAATTTTTTTGAGGGTATTTTTGTCTTTTCTCGTTTTACGTACTGGATATCGTGGGGTGTACCAGATGTGTTAAAATGTTGTTTGGGGCATTTCCTTGAGTTCGGGACTCTTGGAAATGTATTAGTTATCATTTTGACATTTTTCTCTTTTTCGGGCCTGAAGGGTGGGACCTGCTATCGGGGTTGTGTCACGGGTCCATTGCATTTCATGCCTGTTTATTTAATGCACATTTATGTGGTTGTATGTTAGTTTGTATGGTTATGATTTAATTGGAATATATATATATATATATATATATAAAAGGAGAGATATTTTGTGTTTGTGGGGCCCACCCCCCATTTAATCATTTTAATGCCTTAGGGCCATCACAGGCCCTCACCATTTGCTCTCTCTCTCTCTCGTCAGACTCCCTATCTCCCTTAATTTTCCTTTTTTTTTTTTTTTTTTTTTTTTTTTTTTTTTTTTTTTTTTTTTTTTTACTTCAACAATTCAAAACTTGATTTCTCTCTCACCTTTGAGAATTTGGTATTACCGCTTAAGGCAAAATTGGAGAGCTCGTCGAGGCCATTGTTTTGATCGGAGCTAATCTCCCTCTGGCCACCGTGGGGATTTCAAATTTTGGGGCATTTTTAGGGCTTTCCCTTCAATTTAAGGTAGGGGTGTTCTAATTTACAACTTCTTTGATTTCTTCTGAATTTTTCCTTTTAATTTGGTTCATCAAAATCAAATTATGAAATTGCGAACGTGATGGTTTAGAAGTTCCCCTCAAAAATGTGATTATGATATAGATGGAATGTGTGAAATTTTATTGTTGATGTAACACTTGGAAGCATGAATTTATACTTGCATTCATTGGGAAGAAAAAGGGGAAAAATGTTTTAAAATCAAATGAAATTGTTTTTAGGAAAAGTTTTCGAAAAGTGTTTGCGAAAACCGGACGCCTAGGAGTCGCCTAGTGGTCCGCAGCGTTAGTGTGGTCTAGAGGGGACTAAGGAGAGACCCTAGCGTGGTTGAGCTACCTAGGCCGGATACGACACCTTGGAGTTGCCTTGTGGTCTTGGATAGTTAGCCAACCCTCATCTCGTAATGCCTTGGAGTCGCCTTGGATCGGATTGCACTAACGGTTTGGAAAGGTGAAACGGTATTGTTTCGGAAATCGGGAGTGACATTGCATGACATGGCACATCATTGGCATATTATTACACACTTGGTAGTCGGATGACTTGTGTATATATTTATTGATACCATTACTGTTTTACTTACTTCCCGAGACATGATCCCGTTCACTTGTATTCTATTCCTTATGTAGATTCACGGGATCGTAAGAGGTGTGTCTTAGACACTTTCTACTGAGTGGTTGGCTCACCTCATTTATTATTAACATTTTTCTGGGCATGGAAAAGAGGTGATGGAAGAAAATCCACCATAAGCTTGAAAGGACTAGGAATTGATTTTTGCCATCTTTTGTAATTTGATCCCATTCTTTTGTAAAACATCACATTATAAATGTATTCGTTTTGTAAAGTGTAACCATGTGTTGTAATTATAATCTCTTGATAGAACTTTGATGTAGCTTGTGACTAGGGGTGGCAAAATGGGTCAGAAACCATCAACCCGCCTATATCCTCCCGCTTTTTAATGGTTATGGGTGAACTATATTTAATTTGAGGGTCAAGATGGGTTAAATATGGTTAATCATATTCAACTCATATTTCACCCATCACATAATAAACACACAACACACATCTATTCTATATTGCACTCAACTCATTTCTCTCTCTAAAATTCTCTCACTCACAATCTTCTCTCTTTATATTTATCTCTCATCAATCCCCTCTCTCTAAGTTTCTCTCTCTAGAAATTTCTTCTAAAAAAAATAATTAAAAAATAAAAAATTTTAAAACCTTTTGAACAAAAATAATTTAAAAATAGAAAATAATTAAAAAAAGTTTTAAAAAAAATTTATAAAATTAAAATTTTTTGACAAATTTAACGGCAATGCGAAAGAGGTGCATTTCAGGGGTGTACGGCGCCGCTAAGATTCGAGATCTAGGGAAGAAGAGTCATGTGTGGTTGGGGACGTTCGACACGGCGGAGGAGGCGGCGAGGGCGTACGACGCCACCGCGAGGGAGTTTCGCGGCAACAAAGCCAGGACTAATTTCCCGGTGCCGGAGGAGGTGAGTGTGAGGAACTTTATCAATGGTGGTGGTGAGAAGATAGATGTGATGATGATCGAGAAGAGTAGTTGCAATAAGAGTTCGGATGAGAGTAGTACCATGGAGTCGTCCGGGTTTTCACTGGCGCTAATGGTTGATTCGTCGCCGTTGGATCTTAATATCTCTCACGGCGCCGGAGGCGTAGCTCGATTTGGCTCCGCCGTGTGGTTTCCGATTTTATTATTATTTTTTTTTACCGTCTTTTATTTAATTTTTTATTTTTTACTTTTTAGTTTTCCCTTTTATTCTATTTTTGAAAATGGGGATAGGATTAGGTATTAGAGAAGTGTTGGAACTTTGGTGAAATTTTTTTTAAAAAATTTAAAAATAAAAAAATCTAAAAATAATAATTAATGGGTCCACGGGCTGCCCATTTTTAACCAGTTCTGAACAGGTTGAATATGGGTCTTGACCCATGTTAACCCGCCATTTTCAACCCAACCCAAACCCGGCCCAACCCGCCCATTTGCTACCCTTACTTGTGACTATGTGATAAAATGGGATAATGATGGATTGCCTTCTGAAATGTTTAATGCATTTAACCATGATACTTTCTGTGTATTGTTGCCATGAATTCGGGGTTGATTGTGTATCAGGTTTAGCTCATAACGAGCACGGTGTGTTGAGGTTTCCAGTGCAAGTTTATTATGTTTCTGGGTTTGTCGGCTGGCTAACAAGGGGTGTCAGCCGACCGATAGAGCATTTTAGGCCATTCTAGAGAGTTGGGGTCTCTGAAAGTGTTGTTTCGGCCGGCCAACCTTCCTCATCAGCCGACCGAACCCTCATCTCCAGTCGGCTGAGAGGCTATTTCATGAAAGTCCGGAGAGCTTGTAGTTTTGGTCATCGTTTTGGCCTGCCGACCCTATAGGTCAGCTGACTGATCTTGAGGCATCAGCTGGTCGACATAAAGCTGCCAGCCAACTGAAGCCATCTCTTCTCACCTGCATGTTGTGTTCCCCTTGAGGCATTGGAAGTTATGTTGTTGTGTACCCCTGGGATGAAATGTGTGTTCACATTGACTTAGAAAAGGTCGGTTGTGCCCTTAGTTGGCTTCGGGTTTGGGTAAGGACCCGGCTAACGGTTTAGACCTATAGGTTCCAGTCGTTATACAATACTTCTATTTATAAAAGTCTTAATCAACTTATTCTCATAATTATTTGCTCCAAAATATTATTCTCCTTGATTTTCTTCCTTTCATAATTCAAATTGGGTCAACCTCAGTGTGTTTTGCCTTCAATATCTCTATCTCCAGTTTCCTTAGTCGAGTACTTTCTTCATCATCTGCTAACTCCCTCAACCTGGTTAGCTTTAGTTGCTAAAAAGTTGCTAATTTTTAGTAACTTTTTTTCATAATTCTGGTAGCCATTTTACTCCTTGAATAGCCCAACCTTTAATACACGTAAAAGCAACTTGTCTCATTTAGATTTGTCCACATCATTCTTAATACGGCTACCATCCTCTATTATCTTGTAATGACCCGGTCATTTTCTTTCCTTTCCCTTTTTCTTATATTTTCATGAATATATATATATATATATATATATATATATATATAACAAATATATATATATATTTGTTAATCTTTTCCTTTCTAAGTTTGGTTTCTCATCACTAGGTGTCATCTTGAGTGCTCGAAAATGGTTTTCGATACTCTTTCCTTTGGATTGATGACTTCCTTTGATGACCGAGTCATTTTCACATTTTAACTTTTGTGACACTATTCACTTTTCGTCTTTTTCCTGTTTATTACTTTGTTGGCATAACCTCACTTTTTGTGTTCATATTTGATTCCAGTTTTGCATGTATCCATGTTATTTAAATTCCATGCTATGTGTATTTTTTTCTTTTGTAGAAAAACATGTTAGTTGTGTACTTTCTTCCTTAGGGGTGTGGATGCACACTTCTTTAGAATTTTTCTTTCTTTTGGGGTCATTTGTGTAATTACTGTAAAGTAATTATTTTTCGTCTTAGGGACCATTTTATAATTTAATTTGGAAGATATTTTCAAAAATGACCTTTTTGCAATTTTTAAAAAGTGTGACAAGTGTCACACTCTCTCATTGGCCCACTTGTTGACATTTGTGTGGGGACACTTTGATGCCTTGGATGATGATATGTGGAGGGTAAAGATTCAACCAATTGTTGAGCTAGGATAGGCGCACTTGTTGGCTTAGATGGTTGACAAGTGTAGGCTTAGGATTAAGCCTATAATGGATGCTTAGATGAGTGACAAGTGTATGCTCCAAATTAAGTCTTGCAATTATTTTTGGGCCACTTTGGGATTATGGTTTTAAAGAGGGATTTTTGTGCAATTGACCATAGATGTGTGTATTGACCATCGTGTAGGATCACATAGTGAGTGGAGGATTTCTATTTCCTCCACTCACACATTTTCACATTATATCATTTTCTTCCTCATTAGAACCCTAGCCTCCATGGATGGAGCTTGAAGCCTTAGGCCTTGATCTTGATTTTTTAGGACCTTCCACTCACCTTAGATCATGAAGCTTGGAACACTTTTTGTTCCCCTCGTCCTCCTCTACATAACCTTGAAGGGTTTGCCATTTTGTGTTAATTTACCTTGGATTCTAGAGAGACACTTCTCTAGTGAGGTAGGGGGTGTTATAATTTATTTTCTAAGTGGCGTTACTTATTTTTGTATGAGATATAAGTTGTATACATGTCTTATGTTAATTTGAGAAATTAATGATGTATCATAGTTTGTTTATAACTCATTTTAGACTTGATATATGGCATGACCATGACTTGATCTTTGTTGTATATTAAATTGGGATGATTTAAAAGAGTTTTCAAATCTAGAGATTAAATGGATTTAATTTGATTTAAATTCTAGTAAATTGTATTTTGCTTGTATTCCATTTTAGACTTGATATATGGTATGACCATGACTTAGTGCTTGATATATATTAATTTGGGATCATTTGAACAACTTTTGAAAATTAGAGATTTAATTAATTTAAATTAATTAAATTCCACATGATGATGTCTTGCTCATTTTGCTCTTTTGATTTGATATATGTAATGAGCATTCTATGTTGTTTAACATATAATAATTTGAGGTTATTTGAATTTGATTTGAAATATAGAGAATTTAATTATTTTTGTTTAATTAAATTCTATCTAATGGCTCCATGGATCTAATTGTGTTTTAGAAATTGTTTCTATGTTTAAATCATGGACTTGGACTTGTTGTATATTCACTTGGTTATGTTTTGAGCATAGGATAACATTGTTGTTATATTTATATTCATGAGAGCATGTTTTCTTTATGGATTATATTGTTGCCTTGTGTAATAAGTTGCACACCTTGTATTTGACATCTTTCATGCCATAGTAGTGGTGGACTTAGAGCATGTATTGTATGTGTTTCTAAATTTGGTTGTGTGTGGTAGATAGTTGATTATCTTGTATATAAATGTTGCTATATACGTTGTTGCAGAACTTGTTGATTTTAGAAACTTGGGGATGTCGTTGTTTGACTACCGCTAGGACATGGTTCTAGTACGGGGGAATGTCCTCCTATAGTCTAATGCGCACATAAGGCGATTACCCGTGGGCTAGTAATCCTAAAGTAACTATGGCGTCGATCTGATCCGACGTGATGTCTAACTATCCACCTTGTTTGATTTCGCATTTCATTTCAAGTTGATAACTATATGATGTTGTAACTTGTTGTTCCCTATTTAATTTCCCATTTTAAGTTTCAAGGTGTTAACTTTGAGAATTTATGTTTTATGTGTTGTATTGGAAGTTCTAATGTTGGTTAAATTGCATCGATATTGTGATTATGGTTCAAATGTTCAAATATAGCTTAGGAATGATCCTATAAATTCATTTGGAACATAGACGTTAGGTGGCATGACCCACTTTTGTCGTTTTCGTATTTTAGATTTCAAGTTGACAGCTTTGAAAATCTATATCTTGTTGCTTTCTATAGCATGTTCTTATGTTGTTTGGAACTGCATGAAGGATGTGAATTATGATAGAAATGATCTAAGGTAGCTTAGGATGCTCCTTGAGTCTCACATTTGACATAGACGTCAAGTGGCATAATCCTTTTAAATTGTTTCAAGTTAATGTAAAAATCTTTAAAGAAATCGAGTCTATGCATGCTCATTCTCTACGAGTAAACTTGTTTACTCACCCCGAAGTTACTGGGATTTTTGATCAGGTACGAAGACTTGGTTCATGATGTTCATCATTGTTTGGATGATTATAGATTTGAAGGTTTCAATTCTTATAAAGGTTGGCTTGAAATGCCACTTGTAGCCTTTTAGGTCAAAATATGTATATTTGATTCCATATATGTAATGTGTACATAAGTACACATTTTGTATTGTATTTGACATGTATGAGGTGAGGCCTGAGGCCAATGACATGTATGTTGTATCCAATGTAAATTTTGACTTCATGAAATACTATGAAAATATTAAAAAATGCTAAGTTATTGTTTCATCATGGTTGCATCGGGTGTGGGAATTTCATTTTCATTCTTTTATAGAGTCTCATTAGTCATGTATGAAGTGTGGCCAAAGGCCAAGTGGTCATTTGAAACCATTTTATAATTTTGGTTTTTATTTTTCCCATTTCAAGTTCATTTTCGCCTTTTCGGCCGTCGGGGGTCAGATTTTGACTCGGCCATTTTCGGGAGTCGCGGACCATTCTCGCGTGCTCAAAATCACCATTTACATTTGTGTGCATGATCATTTTCATGAAAAACTCTTTCGTTGGTGAAATGAGCCTCCTATGGACTCATTCCACACTTTTGTTGAAAAATCTTGTTTAAGGGTATTTTGGGAATTTTCTTTAGGAAATAATTTCTAGTCTCAACTGTATTACATAGAAAATGTGATTTTAGGAGGAGTTTCTTCACGACATTTTTCCGAAAAATGTCATCTTGATCTCGAAAACTGCATTCCAAACATAAATTTCTGCAATTTCACTATTTCTGCTCCATTTTTTTGTGTTCTGGTCAAGTTGAATTGGTTCAAGAATATTAGACCGGTTCAAGGTGCAAAAATTGGTCCAGTATGGATGTTCTATCCATGTTGAACTGGTTCAAGAATGTTGAACCAGTTCAAGTCCACCAGAGATTTCAGTTTTGGTCATCTAAATTCAAACTGATGTAACTTCTTTGTTTCAACTACGAATTGGTCCGTTCTTAAGTCTAAATTGACCGCATCAAAGTAAGCTTTCCAATGGTACCAATTTTAGTTTCAGATTCATCTCCTAGATCAAGATATCCTTGTTTTAGTGAGAGGGTATCGGATTTGGTTCGAACCAGGATAGGGTTCATTTGGGATTTCACTTCCTTTGGCCTTAGAACTTCATGTGAAGTTACCAAAGGATGTTTTTAGATGTTTTTAACTTCATTTGACTTGTTGGAAGTCAAATTCCTTCCTCTTAGGGTAAAATAACCATTTTACCCTTGGTCCTTCTTTCGGTAGGGTTTTGATACCCTTATCTTTGTTTTGCTTCCGTTGAGCTTCGAAACTCTTTCAAAGTCCATTCTTGTATCCTAGGGATAATGTACATCTCTATGGACTTGTTTTCAAGTTACTTCCGCACTTTATTCCTTTGGGTTCCGTAACCTCATGGAAGGTCATCTTAAGGTCTTAGAGGTGTGTTGCGCCTTGGGAGACCGTTGTCTTGTTTCTTGCTTCCGCATTCTTGGATCCATTTTTGGTCATCACAGGACACACTGGGTTGAAAAATCCAGGGTCTTCTATTTATAAAAGTCTTAATCAACTTATTCTCATAATTATTTACTCCAAAATATCATTCTTCTTGATTTTCTTCCTTTCGTAATTCAAATTGGGTCAACCTCAGTGTGCTTTGCCTTCAATATCTCTGTCTCCAGTTTCCTTAGTCGAGTACTTTCTTCATCATATGCTAACTCCCTCGACCTGGTTAGCTTTAGTTGCTAAAAAGTTGCTAATTTTTAGCAACTTCTTTTCATAATTCTGGCAGCCATTTTACTCCTTGAATAGCCCAACCTTTAATACACGTACAAGCCACTTGTCTCATTTAGATTTGTCCACATCATTCTTGATACGGCTGCCATCCTATATTATCTCTCCTTCTCTTCTCCAATTAAATCCCTATTTCATGGGGATTTAGTTGTTTCACCTTAGCCGAATCTCTTAGTCTTTCCTTCCCAGTTAACAAACTGTTTAAATTAAGTCAAATTTTAGTTCCTATATTGCAGCAACAACCTTATTGATGAGGTGGCTAAGTATCTTCTCCTAAATTATCTCCTAATATTTCTCAACTGGCCGAATTCTCTTGAAAACCATATTGAACAGTTGTCGTCTCCTCACTGGTCCACGTCATTGCTGAGGTGGCTGCCAAGTTTTAGTGCCAACAATTTGTGATGAGATTAAGAAAGAAAGAGATAATGATTGTAATTCTCATTTAAATTCTAATTACAATATATTTGGAAACATCAAATTGGTGGCTTAAAATTAGAATTAAAGAAATTAAATTAATATTTCTTCAAATTCAATTATAAGATATGTATTCCTAAACATAATTTTAAATACATTATTCATAAGTACGCAGATAGTACAACTCGAATTTCTCTCTCAACTCCTTAGGTGGTCCACCAACAAGTGATGTTAGAGCCAATGGTTTCATTAAAGAGAATCAATAGCTAAAAGTTTGGTCTTGCATTATCAAAGGTGATGATGGTCTTATTCTGAAAGTATCATTTGTTTTTAAAGTTGGGTGTTGCATTATCAATAGAGTATGGTGGAGACTTTGATTATAGAATTTATGATTGGGCGACTTCAAATATTTTAATTTCTCCAACAAATTTTCAAAATCCCTTTCTAACTTAGGCCACTCAACATGCATGTTTGTGACAGAATTAGAAATATGAAAAGCAGCCAAAACATAAACAAAAAAATTAAGTAAATATATGATGAAACAATTACAACAAAATCAACAAGTTTGATCTCCTTAACCTTTTGAGCAACTTGTTCTGAAACCAAGTGTGAGTAGCGCGGTTCGAAAGCTATTAATTGATTAAGTTGGGATTAATACTCTAAATGACCTAGAGGCGGCGAATAGGTAAACTTGGCCAATTTTTTGGGATTAATTAAATTATACATAATTATGATTGATTAAACATCCATAACCACAAAAATATATACTATAAAGTAAAGTAAGTAAAGTAGAGTTTGAGAGATGACATTAGATTTTTAGCGAAAAAATCCTAATTGGTGGAAATCAACCAATCGTATGGGAAAAACTTCGAGGACTTTCGCAGTACTGAGCAAAACGATCCACTATTTTTGAAGTAAAGTATAATGGACTCTAACTCAAGCTCACACCCTTTCGCTCTACCAAAAATAAATTGCTGACCATCCCTGGCTTTGCAACTCCCCCATTCAACAACACTCGACTTTAGGCTTACTCTTGATCTCTATAGAAGGATCGCTAGTAGATCAACCAACACTTCACGAATGTCTTAATCCTTTCAAAGTGTGATTGGAACCTCTTGTAGAAGATTTGTTGTTCTGATCAACTTGTAATTTGGTGTAGACTCTGAAAATTCCTTATTAATCAGTAGAAGAACATCACCTTAATCACTCTCGTGTTTAAGTACAATCAGATTTCTCTAAAAAAATTCTCAAAAAGCTTCAATGATTAGGTAAAAGATGAAAACTTTGTTTTTCCAATTGAAGCAATCAATCCCTCTTATCTCAGGGTGAACATCCCCAATAATTCTATCATTTGTTGATCATTTGTAATAGGTAAAAATAGCATTTAAAATCATGCAATGACTGCCCTACAAGTTTGGGTAAAAATAGGAAACTAAAAAGTTACCAAAAACTAAATTTTCGCATATTCAGTTAACTACAACTAGTTGGACTTTGCCAAAGAACAGTGCCATCATTGGAACTGCAACCGGTTGAAGAATAAAGTGCAACCAGTTGAAGTATAAAGTTGGAGTGTGAAGTGCTACTGATTGGACTTTACTGAAGGTTGATTCCAACCTCTGCTCTTCTACGCAACTTTAAAAATACTCACAACAAATTTCCAAACTTCCAAATATTGCATTTTTACCAATTTCTTTTGAATTTTTGATAATTTTTTGGGACTTTTGACCTTAACATGATGTCATGCATGTGATATCATCTATTTTTCCCTATAATAAGATCTGGACAACTCAGCACAGATGTGAATTAACCATTTTGCCTTTGGATTAGAATTTTAGTTAAAGGAGTGTCCAGATTGGAATATATCCAATATTAAAATGGGTTCTAAGGTTTTTTAACCTTTTGAATGCAATAATGATATCTATTTGCCCATTTAACTATTGGTTTTGAAAGTTTAAAGTTTGAGTTGACCATTTGACCACTACCGAAGGGTTTTGGTCAAAGGTGGTCCCAGAATGGAAGGTGAGAAATATTACAGTGCTTTTAAAGGTTTTTAGACCTTCTGAGCACAATGGTGAAGTTCGTGGGTGAGTTTAACTATTGGTTTGAAAATTCAAACTTATAGTTAACTGTTTTACACATGTCTTAGGGTTTGGTCAAACAAGGTGCTGGAGAAGGGTGGAGACCCCGAGAGGGTGTATCATGGGTCTTCGGGTATTTTTAATACAATGGTGGAATCTGTTTGTCTTTCTGACATTTGGATCAAAGGATTGAAGTGTAGATCCCAATTTTGCCCTTTTCGAGGAATTAGTGATTAAGCTTTGGAAAATATGTGATGTGCTTGATCCTATGTGTTTCCTATGGTTTGGGGGTGCTCTATGTGTACTATTGAAGTCTAATATTTGAGTAGAGGGTTAGGTTATCAGTTTTCAATTTTTTGCCTTATGTGGACTCTACCGATAATTGGACTTGGGAGATGAAAATGTTATTCCTTCCCTGTGGCTAATGTGACTTGTGAGGGATGGAAAATTGGGGTGTCAAAGTTACATCCATGGAGAGAGATTTTCATTATTATGAATCAAGGAAAAGAATATACAACCATATGTCAAAACCCTAATCACTCTCACTCATCACTCTTAGGGCTACATTTTTACACTCAAAAATTACATATGCCCTTATCTCTCCTCACAACACTCACCCTTCAACCCCCTACATCTTTGTTATTTTTTTTAAAATTTTTTTTATTACTTTTAACCCAATTCTATTTATAGATTATTCTAACCCAATTTCTTATTGAACAAGAATACCCCAACTTACCTACAAGAAGTTACCATATTATTCAACTCTAAAATAGCAGCCTAATATAATGCAACTTCCTTCTCAAATCTTCAGCCTTGCTCCTCAAGTTTTGGGGCTTCTAAAATGGAAAAAGAAAATGTCTTTCGCACATATCAGGCAACTGTAATTGGTTCTACTAAAATGCAATTGATTTCCCTTATTTGAATCACTATTTCAACCATTCTGCCCAAGTCCAACCAGTTTTATTAAAGTAGAACGCCAACAAGTGTACTTTAAGTATAGAAGTATGTTACAATGGCTCATGACCTCATTACATGTCATTTACTCTAAATCAAATATCAAACCTCCAAAGTTAGAAAAGTTACATTTCAAGGGAAAAACTTGGAATCTAAATACATACACTTAAACTTTAAGGTTTGTGGCCCTTAACCTCATGTTATACATATCAAATAGGTCTTAAATAGTGTATCTAAGTACACTTTACATATAATAAGGCAAAAAGAGCATATTGAACCTAACTAAATGTTACAATATCAAAAGTAAAACTTAAACATGCTAACACTTACATGTGAACAAGAATACTTTAAAAGAAACTTCAAATCTCCAAACCACCCAAGGCAAGTGTAAATATCCAAATCTTGAATCCTGTACCTGAACAATACCCCCAGTAACTTCGGGGTGAGTAACATAAAGCTACTCGTAGGAAATGAGCATGCATAGACCTAGCATTTTACAAAATTATCACCTTAAGGTGAAACAAGTCAAAGGGGCTCATGCTACCTAACGTCTATGTCAAGATGAGACTCAGGGAACATCCTAAGCTACCTTAGATCATTTCTAGCATAAATCACATCATTCATGCAACTCAAATAATCATGGAAACATATTATACAAAATATCAAGATTTAGATTCTCAAAGTCTTTAACTTGAAATCTAAAACACAAAAACAACTACAGTGGATCATGCCACCTAACGTCTATGTTCCAATGGATTTATAGGATCATTCCTAAGTTACATTTGAACATCAAAACACAAATCACAATATCGATGCAATTTAACCAACATTGGAACTTCCAATACAACGCATAAAACATGATTCCTCTAAGTTTACATCTTGAAACTCAAAACGGGAAATCAATTAAAGAACAACAAGTTATGATATCATCTAGTTGTCAACTTGAAATGAAATGCGAAATCAAACAAAGTGGATACTTGGACTTCATGCCAGATCAGACCGATAGCATAGTTACTTTAGGGTTACTAGCCTATCGGTAACCTCCCTATGTGCGAACTAGACTGTAGAGGGACAATCCCTCGTATTAGAACCATGTCCTAGCCGTAGTCAGACAACAACATCCCCAAGTTTCCAAAACCAACAAGTTATGCAACAACGTATATATCAATATGTATGTACAAGATAATCAACTATCTACTATGCACAACCAAATTTGGAAACACATATAATACATGCTCTAAGTCCACAACTACTAAGGCATGACAAATATTGAATCTTCAGTGTGCGATTCGTTACATGCTATAACAATATATCTTAACATTGAAATCATAAACTCATGAATCTAATACAAGTCCAAAATCATGATTTAAACATATAACCAATGTCAAACACATGATTAAATCATTAACGCTATAGAAACGGAAATTAATTAAATAAACTAATTAATTTCTCTAAATTTCAAATCTCAATCAAATGATCCCTAATTAACACATGTTAAACAACATTGCATGACCACTACATACATCCATTCAAAATCTTAATTAAGCTAATGGAACCCTTAAATCGATTTTAATTAATTCATTTAATTAAAATCTCTAGATTTTCATACTCATCCAAATGCTCCAAAATTAAACTATGTTAAAGAGCATACCAAGAATTAATTTAATAGCCTATCACAAGTTAATTTCATGCAAGGTACGGCAATGGGAATTAATCTTTCACAAAAGAAAAATATTAAATAAAAGTTGCAATTCTTATTCAAATGACTCAAATTTAATATATGTCAACAATCATACCAAGGCCAAATTTACTACCATGCTATACTTTAATTCTAGGTTATACATATCCTTGAGAATTAAATCCTATACAAGGAAAATAATTAAATTAAATTCTAGGATTAATACAAAACATGCATACAAGTGGTATAAGCTTATAAAATCATCAATACAACATAAATAAAAGCCTAAGACATCTCCTACCTCAATTTGAGATGAAAATCTCAAAAGCCACCAAAATGAAACGGCTCTGAATCAGACAATATTTCGGGGTTTTGTTAGGGACAACGTCGTGAACATTTAAATCCAAAGAGGACCTGCCAAAATCCTAACTTGACCTCAAACCCGAACTCAAAAATTGGCTAAAAATGGGTTCTAATAAGGGGAAAAGATGCACGTAGTCAAGACAAACACAAAACGTAAAGGCACTATGACTTTTTAACAAAGGGAAAAAGGTTTAATTGAGAGAAGAAGGGTGGTAGCCCCCCTTGGGCTACCATGGCAGCTTCTAGTCATGCATGAAGAGAGGGGAAGATGACTTTTTAATTTTATAACCCCCTATTTATAGGAAAACCCTATAAGTGCCCCGAAAGGGCTCCGCTGGGTTCGGAAAAGTGGAATTTGAGTACACGCGCTCAAACGAAAAAACTTCATGAACAAAAAAGAACTGAAATGAGAAAATATGAATAATGAAAGAAATGACGTCAAAATCGAGTCCCGAGTAGAGAGATATGCCCCGAACAAGTTCGGTGGCAACCGGGGCTAAAAACCTTGAAACTGGAGAAAAACGACCAGAAGAAAATTATAAGAGCACACAACTTGACAAAATGTGAAAATGAATCCCATACGAGGATCCAGGCTCAAAACGAGGCAATTTTGTAATAACTTTCATTAATTGCACAATGGCCCCTCCAAAAAGTGAAAACTGCACTAATGACTCGAATGAAAATATCTTCTAAAAATATTTTCTGAAAAACCCCTGAAATAAATATCTTCAAAATATATTTATGAAAAACACCCCAAGAAAAGAAAAATATTTTGAAAAATTATACATTCATACCCTTATGGACACCAGGAGCAACTAAAGTACTTTACTGCAAAAGTAAAGATACGTATTTCGTGGAAACCACTAAGAATGAAGATAAGTGAAGTCAAAAACCAACTCCGAGCACGGAAGGTGAGGTTGTGCCAAAAAGTGACAAACGAGGAAAAGACAAAATAGGGAAAAGGACGAAAAGTGATAGTGTCCAAAAAGTGAAAATATGGAAACGACTCGGTCCTTAAAGGAAGTTGTCAATCCAAGTGAAAGAGTCTTGGAAACCATTTTTGAGCACTCGAGATGACACTAAGCATCGAGAAACAAAACTTGGAAAAGAAAATTAAACGAAAAAAATTTAATCGTAAAATTTAAGAAAAAGGAAAGGGAGGAAAATGACCGGGTCATTGCACAAACATCTTCAACACTTCAACATCAGACCTTAGTTCTTTGAATTTTCAGTATTAGGCATTTGGTAATAAGCCTCAGTAATCTTCCGATACCGAAGTTGGTCTGCCATATCTTGCACCTTAATGCAGGACATTTTGTCTGGATCTACATTGTTAAAATAAGATATCTTCCTTCTTACATAAGCCAAATAGGGTGTTTTCTCAAACACACCCCCATGGTTTAACCTAATGCAATATAATATACCCATCTACAAAAAAATAATTTACTTAGTAATATTTAAGTCAATTATGTTGCAATTATAATGGTAATGTCAAGAGGAAGTATGCACAGTCATAATCAATAAAAAAAGTTTCACACTTTTCATGTTTTATTATAAAGTAAGAGAGAGAATTTTAGCAGACAAACTTGTACCAAACAAAGGACACTTTTTTACAAAATAATTAATATAAAAGGGACCACTCAACAACCAGTCTAAAAAGCATATAAATACACTAACAATTACTACACATAACTGAACCTTGGTTGAATTTTTGAAAAAGAGTAAAGGACCACAAACAATCGCATCAACGAAATCTAACATAAGAAGACACACATTGTTATCACACCCCTGACATAAAGTTCATTATAGTTACAAACAAACAAATGGTACTCTTTAATATCACATAAAATCTGAAAAGCATATATGAGATCCACGTATAAAAGTTTCATGGCCAACATATAAAAGCTATAAAATCTATCACTACCGAACATTATCACAGACAAAGCAAAAACCAAACTCAGAACAATATATATATATATATATATATATATATATATATATATTAGCTAGAGAAGTACACATAAACACACATTGAAGGTAATAAACTGCCATTACAGACCAACAAAGGTAATATTATTGATTTAAGACCAAAATCAAACCCAATATTAAGGCATAAACACCAAAATCAAACCCAATATTGAGGTGTAAAGACCAAATCAGAACCAATATTAACGAATAAAGACCAAAATTAAACCCAAATTTAACGAATAAAGACCAAAATAAAACTCATTTTTTAAAGATG